CATTGGAGGGCTTCCTTGGACCAGGAGGTCCTTCCTGCCCTATTTCTCTGAATTGCACAGTCTGCAACCCTAACCACCCTCCACCTCATCCTCCCGAGTCATTTATGCTGAGATGGGATTTTTCCCTTTTTAGCACCAGCCCGTGGCCAGCCTCATGGCCCTTTGCTGACCGGTCCCCGTCTGTCTCTAAGGCAGGGGACTGGCGATTTATTTTCCATCAGGAATCCAACGGAGCCCAGGCTACACCTCAGATCGGGCCGGTGGATTTGCCCTGAAATGGATTCATGTCCTGATGACACCCCCCACCCCCGGGGTTGCCTTTCTTGCTGTCCTTGGGCTTCAGCACTAGAATCCACTCAAATGGATTAATCCGCTTGCATGGATTAACCGGGTAGTCATTGCAGATGGGCAGGGCGTGGCCGCAGGAGGTGTGTCACTTTGGGGTCCATATTTTGTCTTTGTTGAGCAGACCCCTCTCTGTGGGATAGCCCAGATCTGAGGGCCCCCGAAAGCTTGTGTTGTGCGGCTGGTGGTCTTGTACAGTGGGGGACCCTTTAAGAGGCGGAGCCTAGTGAGAGGAAGTTAGGTCTTTGGGGGCGTGGCCTTGAGGAGCATTCTGGGACCCCAGACTCCTCTTCTCTCTCTCTGTTTTTACTTCCTGAGCACCATGAATTGAGTCCTGCCTCCACCCACTTTTGCCCCTCACCACAAGCCCAACCCAGAAGGTCAAGCATCAACAAACCGTCCCTCCTTGTACATGATCTCAGGGATTTTTGTCACAGCGACGGAACGCTGACCCATACGGTGACTAAACGGCACATTTTACCCGCAGACCATCTTGGATTTCCACGTGGGCACACCCAATCAAATCCGCTCCAGACAGACATGCACAGGCCCAGCTGACCTCTTGTATGTGCAGAGGACAGAGCCAAGGTCCTGGGGCTTAATTACACCGCTGAGGCTGGCCTCCAACTTGCGATCCTCCTGCCTCAGCCTCCCGAGCCGCTGGGAGGACAGGCCTGCTGCCACCGCGCCAACTTCTATAAATGATTAGGAAACGGGGTTTCTCAGGCCTTCCCTCCGGGGCTGGGAAGCCGGGATGGCTGAGCTGTAGCAGTTGCTGCAAAAACCTCATCTTGAGGTTGTTGGTCGATTGCAAAAAAGAAAAAAAAAATGATAATTCTAACCATAAGCCAGGTCTGTTGCTGGGCCTCCTCTTGGTGGCCTGCTCATTTGTCCCCATGACCCCTGGGCTGCTCTTCAGCTGGGCGTGCACCTGCTCAGTGTCCAGGTGGGCAGGGCAGGGGACGGTGGGGAATTCGCACTCAGCACCGTGTCCTCTGACTCGGTTTTCTCCGTGGCCTCCGCAGTCGCGGGTGCTACTCGCCGCACGGAGCCTACGCGCAGAGCAAACTGGCCCTGGTCCTCTTCACCTACCGGCTCCAGCGGCTGCTGGCCGCCCAGGGGAGCCACGTGACCGCCAACGTGGTGGACCCCGGGGTGGTCAACACGGACCTCTACAGGCACGTCTTCTGGGGCACGCGGCTGGTCAAGAGGGTCCTCGGCTGGCTCCTCTTCAAGGTGAGACCCCCGGCGGGTGGGGCTGGGCCACCTGCGGCCACCAACGCAAAATGCAACGTCAGAGGCCAGTGACTGATTAACCCTGCACCCGGCGTCCAGTGTCCCTGAACGCTGCGGTCCCCCTGCACGATGTCACAGCCAGCTGCAAGGGACTCTTCCAAGTGGTGGGACCCCTGGGGACCCCGCTGGGTGAGCTCTGAGCTCTAAGAGGAGGAGGAGGAGGACGAGGAGATGGAGGAGGAGAAGGAGGAGCTCTGTTTTTACTTCCTGAGCACCATGAATTGAG